ATGCTTCTTTAATCTCAGATTTTTTTACAAGAGAAGCTGTCATTGTAAGACAAAGTGAGACTCATTCATGCCTCTGTCACATCCCGGTGACATTATAGTAATGCACTTTCTACTCGAGTAACTCGGTTGTCCTTGAAGTGTCTACAGCGTGCACAACGTTCTGCTGGCTCCTATATAAGACCAGACGTATGCTAAGGCCCCTCCTGCTTTTGTTGCTTTCGAATAACTGTCAGTGCATTGATTTTAAAATTACATAACTCCTTGATTGGCAGAGCTCCAATTAACTAAGAGTAATAAAAAGACACACTAACAACAATAACATGTGCAAGAATATGCCAGAACAACAAGACATAACAAACTAATGAAGGTCTTTTAGATGTCTGTTCTCCTTTTGATTTGCGGTTAGTCAGACAATCAGTTCTATTTATGGCTCTAAAGTAAGCACCAGTTTACGATGCAGTATATTGGGAGACATCTATCATCGTTTCACAGCGGAAATCCACCTTTATAGCTCTGATTGTTTGTCGTTATGGTGATGCTTTAGTTCTTATACTGTATTATTTGCATCTATTTGTATTTTCTGCTTTGTATTAGGATCATTGTAATTTACTCTTGGAATTAAATGCACAACAAATCAAGGCAATTTGGCAGAGCACTTATACAATGTTAGAAGACTCAAAACATGGATTTATTTTTTAAACAGGTCAAATTAAAGCTGCAGGAGCGGGAAAATACTGATTTTCAAACCTTAGCACAAGTCAAACTCCAAAAACATTGAATCCTTTCTTCACTCTGTGATACACGTGTAATGTGTGCAAGACCAAGCTGCAATATATTGTTTTTTCAGACTTCAAGGCTGCAGAATTCAATTGATTTAGTGGAGTGAAAGTCTGTACAGAGCATTACTGTTATACTATATATTATTACTATAGTACTATACACTTTACCAGGTGACTAAATGTTGTATTGTATTGAGTAATGCACTGACTGAGTGTTTATAATGTCAGCTGTCCTCCAGCCGTTATGCCCCTGACACTATTGTAGTTTATGAGGTCAGGAGCTTTACAGCGTGTTCTGAAAATAATCTGCCACACCGCAGCTGTTTGATCAACACGCTGCACCAGGACTGACTGACTGACTGACTGACTGACTGAGAAAATAGACAATATCTCCTGAGAGACAGAAACCGGTTTCATAATGTTCTCAGTCTTCTCACAGTGTCTTCCAGCTCTCCAGCGCTGCAGGCACAGCCCCGACCAATTAGAAAGCTGACGTAAAGATAAAGACGCCCTTTATTTGGAAAGGTCGGGCTGGGAGAACAAAACGATTTGTTTTAAGTGTACATGCACTCAATATACATCACACGCACTAACGCACACACACTGACATGCATACTTCACATCGCCTCTGTACAGTTATTAATGCCCTGCGGCTCTCTGTCCAAATTGAATCTAATCAAGTGAAATGCTGTGAGGGTCCTCGGGAGGGAGAGCAGGTCTGACGGTGACTGCTTACAATACAATTCCTGACATTTGGAACAAAGCTTGCTCTACCTCTGAGCTGTAATTGCGAACGACAACTGCCGCAATCCTTGATGAGTGTGTGTGTGTGTCTGCTGTGTGATATGAACGTGCCTGTATGCAGGAATATGTGTGTGCTTATACATCTGTGGGATTTGAGGCACCAACCTCTGATGAATGGTTTTAATAATTTCTTTTGAAGTGGTCTTCACATTGGAGTACAGTGGAACTAATTACGCTGATTGTCGGGAATGCAGCTGCTGTAAATATGTTATGAATGCTGTCCTTCCTGCCGTGTTCGAGCTGCAGATTTTTCAGCCTCCAGCTTGATAAAATAACACAAAAGACGGAGAAATGCATTTTTTAAATACACACATTAACTGTTTTGTCTTTAGTGTTGCAAGGTGAAAAGCTTGCTAGTTACTCACCCTTGAAATATTAACTTAGCAGCAGAAATTCCTATGAATGTCATGTCCAAGGGCTTTGTAAAGCAGACAGGACAGTGAATAATTCATGTTGAAATCGTGTTTCAAACTGCCTGACTCTGCTTCATCAACTGTTGAACCGTGCAGTCGGCTTTGTAAGCTAGAAATAATATTAGCACTCTGCTTTCAAACAACAGTCTCCGAAAGAAATTACTTTACACAGCGTTAATGAACAGTGCACATGCATAGTTTGTCTGTTTTTCTAAATGTGGCCACTTTCCAACCATTGTGCCGCACTGCATGCTGGGGTCATTTTATTAACATATAATCACCATAGTAGGAGATTAGAAACAACACACCCATGGAGCTTTGGACCATACAGCATATGTTATCATAGTATATTTCTGCATTTAAAGTCACCTCATTATTCATTCATCATATTTTACGAGCGCTGACTCAATGTGTAAAGATTGGTTTAGTAAGTCAACAGAAAATGTATAATCGCTCAACCATGTGACTTATTGTGAAAGCAAAAATGCTAAAAACTGATTGCAGTCATTAAATGTTACCGTTTGCAAGCATCTTGTACTTTTCAACTGAAGACTTTCAGGTCTTAAACGACAACACAAGACGATTTCTTCTCAAAATGATGACATGTTTTTATATTTTCCAATATTTTAAGGACAAAATTGCTATTCGATTAACAGATAAAATAAGGGAAAATGTGTAATTGATAGTCAAATTAATCAAAATGGCAGACATACTGATAATTGGGATGACCATTTTAGTTTTCACTTCATTTCACTGTAAATTGCATGAAATTATGAGCTGTTTTGTTTTGTTTTAATTGTGTTGTATGTATGTTTTGAGTGTGTGAGGACCCCAGGAAGAATAGCCAATGCTCATGCTAGTGCTAATGGGGATCCTAATAAAGACATAAAGACATACAGTATATAATATTATGTGAAATATCTCTTCTTATATAATGTTACCCATCATATCAGGTCATAATAGATATTATTAATAAAGTGTCTGGGGATTAAGATATATGCAAATGAAATGCATTTTAACATGGCGCTCTTGCAACGGAAAAAACACTGGGTCTCATGTCATCTTTAAAAAGCATCTAGTTATAGTTAATTATATTTCTGTTACTGTGTGTGGGAGATTATAATTAAACAGACCTGCCCACCAACTGTCAGCTTTAGTCACCTGTAGCCTTCACGGCTTCTTCTCTCTGTTATTTGTTTATAATTAACATCTATAGACGAACCTGTAGGAGGCAATTGAATAAAGAGGCTTCATTTTAAAATGTCATATCTGCTGGTTCAGTGTTTGTGTTAGAGGCAAGTATTTCAGAGCACTTCATTTATCTGTCTGGTAGGTTTTTGTAATGTAATTAACAGAGACTATATTTAAATGTAGTCTCGATTTAACTGGGCAGTCTCATGGAGATTAAGATCTCTTTTTGAAGCGAGACCGTATAATACAAAAACGCGTATAATACACAAACAGAAACAACACAACTACACAAACAATGAATTAAAACAGTTACAGGAATCATAAAAAAACTTGAGATAATAAAACTTCATAATCTTCAAGGCAATGAAAGACTGTAGTTTGAGCGCAGGTTGCATTTAAAAGGTGCATAGTACCTGAAATCATCTGCCAATATTAGTGCGTACATGAGGAATATCTGAGGTTAAGTGGATTAAAATGAAAGAAAGGAATAGTTTACCACCGTCGGCTCAAAATGTTTTCATGACCAAAATACCTGCAACACATAAACATCATGCTGACACGCTTAACTATGTTGGTTAATATGGTAAACACTATATCTGCTTAACACAAACATGTTGTAATTGTGAGTTTGTTAGCTGACTGCTGTACTACAATAGTCTTGTTCTTACATGTTGTCATATGAAATATCTGTTCGGCATATCTTCCTTTTGATGGTGTCAGCTCAGTGTGCACTTCCTGTTCAGGGGTTGGTTTGCCAGGTAGTTGCGATATACATCAGTCCAATTTACATGCTTTCAGAGGAATATATTTATTGCGCACCACCTAAAAAAAAAACACACCCAAAGCGGTTTGTAACGTCTGGATAAGATAGGAGGTTTCGCAACTACCTGAGTTTAAAAGAAATTAGCTTTGTTACCTACTTTATCATCATTCTAGACGCCATGGATCATAAATGAACTGTCATTTTAAATATGTAAGCACCTTGAGTTGTTCTTGACATTCCTCCTGTCACTCAAACGCGATGATTTACATGCATTTCAAACAACAGTAACTATGTAGAGCAAAGTTACAGCAGGTTCTGATTGTGGATCCTGAAACTTGATCAATGAGGTGTGACATCAGGAAGCAGGAGAGATGAGTTTCACTATGTTTTTTTAATTTATGGTTTATGTCTTGTATTATTTATATTGCATTGTTTGAGGAACTGTGACCCAAGTCTTTCATTACACTACTCCACTGTAGCTGTGTGCAGTATATGACATTAAACCTGTAAATCTGAAAATCTTAAGGTTTTGCTAGCATTTTTTTACTCAGCCTTTAACACAGATGTATTGCTTCCCAAGACATTTTAAACTGTATGCAAATAAAATATATATTTTGGCATCCCTCAGCTGTACTAAAAAGGTTCTGTTTGTTATAGTTCTTTATCAGTTGAGATTTATATCTTACTCAGCAAAAGTGACAGTACAATAAACGTCTCAAATCTCAAACTTTACAGGCAACCTTACAATTTCAGGCCAATAGTAAGAAATAAAAGGACCGTATTCACATCACACTAGCAGTATATGTGCCAGAATATAATAGTAGCCAGGGGATGATCTATGAGAGGGAATAAAGTAATAAAACCTAAAGAGAAGTAGTATAGTGAATATGTCATGTTAAATGAAGTGCTGCCATTCTCCACAGATCTTACATGAGGACTTGAAAAACATTTCCCTGCACAGATTTCCCTTTTCATTGTTGAATTTAACTATTTATTTGAATCTCTGTGGACCTCCTAACTCTGTCTCTCTGTATTTTCTGTGTTTTTCAGGCCAGGAGGAGGATGGGCGGAAGGTTTTGGTCCTCAGTTACCCCCAGTATTGCCGGTTTCGCTCGGTGTTAGTGCGTCTCAGAGAGCAGCCGTCCTCTCTGACCATCGACCACACAGTACTGGCACTGGGCGGCATCGCGGCGCTGGGCGGCAGAACGAGCGTCCTGTACTGCCGGGACACCTTCGAGCACGCCGCCCTGCTGAAGTACGAGAGCATATGTGACGAGTTCGGTGAGTTTTGCTTACAGCTGGCGATTAGATACCTTATTATATCAGCTCATCTGCAATACCAACAGCCATTACAGTGGCAGTTTATGGCGTTTGAAGTGTTGCACATTGAGCCCGTGAAACATCTAACTACTCATGTCCTGAGCTCACATGCACTCATTCTCCCTGCACGGTTCATCTCACACTTTCAATTATGTCATTTTGGTTACAATGACCACTTGTTCAACTCTGCTTTTAGTGGGAAATGGACACTGTTTGCTCTTTCTGGGCCAAGCTATTTGACAACAAGAACTGCACTTGAAACCATTTCAAATTGTAATCATGGATGGCAATTGAAATGAAGACCACCGAAGATCAAAAGAAAAGAGCTACTCCAACATTTGGGTTCCAAAGCCAGATGCAGACGCTGTCCATTCACAAAAAGATGTATCTGTAAAACCACAGAAAGAGCATGTTACCCTTTACTGCAGACAGTGCTTTTCTATTCAGGTTACATTACATTACATTACATTGCATTTAGCTGACGCTTTTATCCAAAGCGACTTACAATAAGTGCATTTGACCAGGAAGATACAACTTTGAAGAAAACAGAATCATATAAGTACAACAGGTTTCAAAGAGCCAAAACAGTTCAAGTGCTACTCAACTGGCTTTAGATAAGCCAGTCCTTTATTAGTATATAAGTGCTCTGTTAGCAGTTCTTTGTTAGTGATTCCATCGCTCGAAGTGGAGTCGAAAGAGATGAGTTTTCAGTCTGCGCCGGAAGATGTGCAAGCTGTCTGCTGTCCTGATGTCAATGAGGAGCTCACTCCACCATTTTGGAGCCAGGATAGCAAACCCACGTGTTTTTGCTGATGGGTAAACTATAAAACAGCTCAAAGCTACATTAGCCGCTACTAGCATAAAACACCCAAATCTCCAACAACCAGTGTGAAGTCAAGTTGCTTTATGGGTAAAGTAGGATGCAGTTTTTGACAAGGAAGATTGTGACACATAAGAAAAGACAATCGGTGGTGTTGCTGCATTGATTTGCATCCTTTTATCTTTACATTACATTACATGTTAGACGCTTTAATCCAAAGCGACTTACATACTCAATACTGTGGGCAATCCCCACAGGAGCAATTTGGGGTGAAGTGTCTCAGGGACACAACGACATGCTGACTGCAGTGGGGTTTGAACCTGTGACCCGCTGATCCGAACACCTACACACAACCCACTGCGCCACACACCTCCACACAAACTTTAAACTTGCAATTGTGAGACCATTGCTGCTGTCAAATGAGGTGTTTCACTAGAGTAATACAATAATATGTTATGTACTTCATAAAGGAATACCAAATCCTTTAGTTAAAGAAAAATATTTTAAAAATGCTAAATTTGGAGATGCATTGTTTTCACTGCTAAACAAACCAAAACCTTTTTGAACACCTCTCACTTGGCTCGGATGAAATGACTATAACATACACAAAATAGTGATAAACAGATTTCAGGATTTCTATATTTGTATTTTAGTCCTTGCCGTGGGGTGTAGATGTTACATTTTCCGTAGCAGTTATTTGGATTTGTGTACATATCATCAGTTTTTGTTCATTTCAGTCATCACTTTTATTTGTCATTTTCGTTCAATTCAATACAACACAATTCATCATCATTGGCTTTCAATATGTTTTCCATTCAGTCTCTGTTTATGAACACAAGTGACCGCCATTCACAACCAGTCACACCTCAGAAAAGCATTCTGTGGCTGTAGTGAGGAATTTGAAGTGCTGGAACATGTCTATTTGCCATTCACCGTGCTTTCCCTGCCGCTTACGAATCCACACATTGTATTAACCCCGAGCTGGGCTTAAACAAAAGCAGTAATATGATTCATCTCTCTTTATATTTCCTCTGCTCTCTAGCACAGCGCAGCTCAGCGGGCTCTTGTGCAGCGTCAATTTGACATTCACAGTAACGGCTCCTCTGGTCAAAAGCCATTGTTTTTCTTTTCCTGTAAATTTGCCAGTAGGTAATTGCATTTTAAGAGAGCAGCAGAGGTGAGACCAGAAGGGAAAACGGTTTTAGGCTCTGGAAAATAAGTTATGAATAGTAACGCTAACATCCTGTGGCTGCTATTGCTCATTCACTTGGCTGAATAATGCCATTCCTCTGTGAGCCACATTTAAGCTAAAGGTTTATTCTCAGAGCCTAAGGGACTTCTATGTCTCCTTTTTGACTAGCGCAGCCACATTTCTAATGTTATTCACACGTTTACTACGTTTTTGAGCAAGCCTGTATTTCTTCTTGAATTGCTGCTAGGTGATTTGTTTTAAAACAGCCGAGCTAAGTAATTTTCATCACTCTGCCAAAGTGAATTAAGGCCTCAAGGGCGTCTACGTTATAGGCAACAACACACACATAAACGTTCTCACATATGTGCTCAGAAACATACACAACTGCTGAGCAAAGTCCTCCTGCCATTACCAGGCAGCATATGAGAAAGCAGCCATAAAAAACATATTAAATCCTCCTTTATTAGGATGAATACCAGCACTGCGGACGTGTAAGAAGGAATACTGTGCAGCTGTGAAATATTAAAAAGTGAAAAATTGATCTGGGGAACAGTTTCAGGACTTTCTTCTACGCTTCTTTGGATGCTAATTCTGACCTTTTGGATTCAGCCAAATCTGCTGTGGCAGCTCTAATAGCCGTCCGTCTTGTATCGGCTAATTCATGAAAGTGTGTCAGGCTACCTCCGGGGGTGGAGAAGGCTCGGGGAGGAGAAGAAAAATGCCTGTTGGTACAGTATTGTGTGAAATGTAGCAATCAGATTAAAAACCTGCCAGTGAAATCCAGTCTATTTTTGATATTCTGGTTATGGTTTCATCCCAGAACTACAGGTACACCATAATCATGTAGATTTATTATATAATCAGCAGCATATTTCTATTTAAACATTGCAGTGTGTACTGATTTATCTGTAATTTAGGAGGTGAGTAATGAAACCTCAGCTGCTCCTGTGTACACAATGACTTTGATATCTTCAATATTTGCTCTCCCGTCACAGCATGATTTAAGGTCGTTGCTGGTTTAACAATGACAGTTTTCGGAGACTGTGTTTTATCTAACTCCATCTATATTCATGTGTCTTTTTTTTACGTCCACGTCACCACCTGCCTGAGCTCCACCGCGGTTGCGTCAGTTAGCAGATCTTAAGTCCTGTGATCCATATTCATGTTCAGCATCGCCTGTCACCCCTGCAGCTGCTGTCCTCACGGGGAATGACACAGATTTTGTTTATAATTATCACGCATTCCCTGCCAGCGTGGATTGATTATACCCAAGCTACTTTGTGTCCCCGATTTAATTTCTTGCCAGGAGGAATATAATATTACCGCTGCACATTGTAGAAAAAGAAAATATAAGTTGGAGGACCTCACTGGCACACATAGAGTACTTATTGTGCGTGCACTGACGTACTGAATAAAAAACAAGCTCTTATATAAACCTGAAAGGTTACAGGCCTTGCATACTGTGCTGTACTATAATAATATTGGCACTGCTGAGGCTCCTCTGCTGTAAGAAACAGCTACAAATAGCTTGAGTGGGCCAGGCTTTTGCCGAGCTGAATGACAGCTGACGTGGTTCAAGGTTTTGTTATTAGCAGTCATGATTCTGTAGAGTATTACTCACTTTCATTTGCCATGGATACTGAGTGTGCCACAAAGCAATAACATAAACATTTGTAGGCTCCACTCAGAGGTGCAGTATATTATATATGTAAACAAGATGTACATTGCAGGATGTCTTGACAGCTACTCATTCGGGCGTCTGTTAAGGAAAATATTATGAGGGACATATTTCCCATTTTCCCTTATTCTGAAGTTATTCCCCTAAACTGCTGACCTTCCTCCCCCTCCCCTCCCCCACTTCTTCAGAAACCCAACACTCCTTATGTGCACATTGCCTAAATCAACAGCATTTTGAAAGTTAGTGAGGCAATCATGTTTGAGGCAAAGCATTTGAGAGGAGCTGCCTGCCCCCCCCCCTTCCCTTTCTCCCCTTTCTCCTTTTCATTTGTCCTATATTCCCCAGGTCTCTCTACTTGGCTCAGGAAATATATATTTCATGCACCGCTCAGTGTGTTTTGTTTGAAATATCTCTCACTCAGTGCCGGTTTGATTTTTATTAAAAAGAAACATTTTCAGTGCAATCCTTTGGAATCCTTTTCTCTGTAATCCTCCAGGGCGAGAGGAGTACAACAACAATTCAATGCCTCGATATATTAACATTGTCCAGATGCACTGATCATAAACAGAAAAGTACTATTTTTGTAATGTGGTGCATGTGTGTGCGAGTTCAGCACATCTGTGGCTGCTTGTGTGTATTTATGAGGGAGTTTCTGCCTGTCTGAGTAAGTTGCATCTGTGTTTGACAGAAAAAAAACATTTCCTGTTCACTTACTCGTTCTCTTTGTGAAACTGATACTGAAATTCTTCACTGCAGTCGGGGAGATGAGGAAAAGGAAAAATCTGAAAAGCAGTAAACATGCAAAAATGTGAAACCTGTACTTTAGGATAACATCTTTTAAAAACATTCATTCCTGCTTCCCTGATTGGGTTGGGTCGCCAGAGGAACGTACAGCATGATGTCATTGTTTCCACAACTTGAACCACTTTCTCGCTCGCTCTCTAAACATGGGATCAGATTAGATGTAATATGCATACGCCAATATCGTCCCATGACAGCGCCGTCTGTTAATGTAATAGGCAAACTGCTTGCTAAGCTCATGTTTTCCCATCTCCTCTGCTGATTCGTGTTAACCACCAGCCCATGAATTTTTCATCGTCCATATGTCGATGGTATACAGAGGCCGTAGAGGAGACGTTTAGAGGAGAAAAGTGCACATATGTCGCTGTATAGTCACATGTCAGAATGAGGACATGGACTCCATGACAGTAAAGGGAGCATCTGCTGGAAGCCTACGCAAACACTACATAGTCATATTCTTACTTATCTGT